GGAAACCTGGTATCCGATGTCCGTAGTACACTTGAGATATGGAGGGAACACTTTTCATTGCTTTTAAATGGCGAAACAGATGGCGCGTTTGATGAAGGAGAACCCGAACCAATGTATAGGGACGAAGCTCACGTCCCTCAACTGGCCCTAGACGAGGTGAGAACAGCAATAAAGCGGCTTAAGAACAACAAAGCCCCCGGAGCCGACGGTATACCGGCTGAGCTGTTCAAAGCCGGTGGCGAAGAGTTGGTGGGGCGTATGTACCAGCTTTTAAGCAGAATTTGGTCTGATGAATACATGCCCGAAGAATGGAATCTCAGTGTACTTTGCCCAATCCACAAGAAGGGAGATCCCGCCGTTTGCGCCAATTATCGCGGAATAAGCCTTCTTAATATTGCATACAAGGTCCTGTCGACGATACTGTGTGAATGACTGAAGCCGTTCACGAACCAGCTGATGGATATCAGTGTGGCGTCAGACCTGCTAAGTCCACCATTGACCAGATTTTCACAGCACGTCAAATCCTGGAGAAGACACTAGATAAGCAAATCGACACACACCATCTATTTGTTGACTTTAAAGTTGCTTTTGATAGCACGAAGAGGAGCTGCCGGTACGACGCCATGTCCAAATTTGGGATCCCCGCAAAACTAATACGGCTATGTAGAGTGACGTTGAGCACAACCTTCAGCTCCGTCCAAATTGGGAAGGACCTCTCCGCGCCGTTTGAGACCAAACGAGGTTTTAGACAAGGCGATTCACTCTCGTGCGACTTTTTCAATCTGATGCTGGAAAGCGTAATAAGAGCTGCCAATCTGAATCGCAGCGGCACCATATATAGCAAAAGAACGATGCTGCTGGCGTATGCAGATGATATCGATATCCTAGGTCTGAAACAAAGGGACGTAACCGCAGCATTTTCCAGTTTAGAAAAAGAAGCTAAAGAGGTTGAACTAGCGGTGAACGAGGGAAAGACAAAGTACCTCCTGGCAACATATAAAGAGTCCACGCGCTACGGGACACACGTCACTGTTGGCAGGTATAACTTTAAAGTAGTGAAGGACTTTGTCTATATAGGATCCACCATAAACACCACCAACAACGTCAGCCTGGAGATCAAGCGAAGAATAACTCTTGCCAACAGGTGCTACTTTGGGCTCGGTAGGCAATTGAAAAGCAGAGCCCTCTCTCGACGAACGAAACCCGCGCTCTACAAATCTCTCATCTTCGACGATGTCGAACAAAGATGAGAAGGCTTTGGGGGCTTTCGAGAGAACTATTCTACGCAAAATCTACGGCCCTGTTTTCATGGATGGCGGATATCGAAAAAGATGGAATGACGAACTGTATGAGCTTTTTAACGACATGGACATAGTTAAGCGCATAAAAATACAGCGATTGAGTTCGCTTGGACATGTTGTTCGCATGGATGACGACTCTCCGGTGAAAAGATCCTTCGACTCCGCGCCAATGGGTGGACAACAAAAGCAAGGGCACCCACGAACGCAATGGAAGGACCAAGTGCAGAAGGACCTGTCTGCGCTCGGGATAACCAACTAGCGCAAATTCGCGCAGGAGAGAAGCAATTGGAAAAGCTTTTTGGTCTCGGCCCAAACCGACAAACAGTTGAAGTGCCAAATAAGAAGAAGAAGAATGTCTGATATAAACATTATTTGAGATATATGATTTGCAAGCAAATATATTATTAAATTAGTTAATATTTTATTTTCCGATATGCTACTTTAAGCGAACAGCTGTTCTCTAATTCGATTTAAGTGGGAGAGGTGTTTATACATTCTTTCTAACTGTTTGAAAAAGAAAAAAAGAACAAAAATACTACTTACTACTTCTTGCTGAACTCATTGCTTTAGAACTCATTAAGCTAATGCAAGTTAATAATGCTAACCAAATGGAAAATGATTAAATTTTTTTTTTCCACAAAATCTAAAACTTTTGACATAAGAATCGATACGACATAAACACCATTAAGGTTACTAAGGTACCTCTTCAGGAATCAAGAAACATTTTTTATTTTTTTTTTCTGTTTTTTTTTTTAGTTTTTCTCAATATCTCGGGTCATGGCGTAGAAAAACTAACTCAGCACCCTTAGTGACCTTGAAAATATCAGATATCACCTCAAAATATCTTGCAAACGCCGAAAACTTAAAGCGATACGCTTTCTAAATACAGGTATTAGCCACGCATCTATATTCAGGTTCAAAAATTTGCCTATATCTCGAGCAGTAACGAACGTAAAATCCTCTGCGATGGCTCATTTGGTTCGCTAAAGATGTGGATATAAATACCATCGCTGACATAAAATTCAGTACTTTTTTTCTAAGAAATAATCAACTTTTAAAGTAAAATTTCGGAACCTTTTCTTGTTTGGTTTTAAGTTTTTCGTAATATCTAAAACGTTGCAGCCTGATCGAAAAAATTAATTTCCTAGTATATTCAGCGGCTTCGAAAACATATTATAAGATCTTACAAAACTTAAATTTCTTCAAGGATTTCGCATACGCGAGGATTGAAAAACGAGTATGGACATAAATAGACTTGAGGGACCTCTAATTTTACTTTTTTTTTAAATCAAGTTATGTATTTTCATTTTTTAGCAAAAGGAACACAAATTTGCGTGAGCACCGAATAATAATAAAAAAAAGGATTTCTTGGACCACTCTAGTGTGCACGTGCGGCTTAATTGGCTATCAGTCTGTTTTTGGCACATAATATAACACGGTGCGAAAAAGTCAATATATTCTAAAAACTGGGAGTTAAATATAGTATAACTGCGTTTTTAATTTTTCTCTCTGACACCGGGAGTTTTTTTAAAAGGACTTTGAAATTTCCAGGGTATGTTTGGATACAAAAAATATTTAAAAGATTTGGTGGATTGTAGAGTAACAAGTAATTCTGTAGAATTAAAAAAAAAATTATTTTTTGTTGCACCAGGACGAATAAATGTTGAAAATGTCCTTTTAAAACTTTATCCTTGAATATCCTTGGAAATTTCCAATATTTATTTTTGAAAAAAATATATGTCAAGGACAAATATGTAAACTACCACATCCTCGAATTTCGTCCTTCCAACTTTATTAGTCTTAGATACAAAAATTTTACACTTCTCTTTATAAGATATTGATAGTTACAATATATGTACATAAATGAAGTAACTAGAATCATTACACTGTACAGCACTCCGCTGGGCACTTAACCAAACCAATTTTTTTTTTAAGAGATTGAGTCATAGGTAAAAAAGTAATTTCTCCGTTTTTCGAAGTTAGCCTCCGAAATCGAGATAAGGGCCTTCGAAGTTCGAAATAGGATCTTTGGTACAAAATTATTTTTTATGATTATATGCAAATAAATAAAAACACTAAAAATACAGTCGTAGACCGCCTTTTGCTCTTATTTAAATGGTTTATAACTTTTTTTTTGCCAAGTTGTATTACAGCGCTATAAGGGGGCAAAGGTCGGATATTCGAAAAATTTAAAACCTTATATTTCAAACAATTTCGAACTGATTTTTAAAAAGTTGTTATCGTTCTAAACGTGATTAGACCCTCTTCTTCTCTTATATGCATATTTGTATACTTTGTATGTAAAAATTTGACAAACAACATTTAAAACGAAAAAAATAGTTATTTAAAAAAAAAAATATTTTAAACAAAAAACTACTAAGCGATTTTTAAAAAGTTGATATCGCTATAAACACAATCAAACCCTCTTTCTTCTGATATGCGTATTTGTATACTTAGTTTATAGAAATTTCAGANTATTTTAAACAAAAAACTACTAAGCGATTTTTAAAAAGTTGATATCGCTATAAACACAATCAAACCTTCTTTCTTCTGATATGCGTATTTGTATACTTAGTTTATAGAAATTTCAGAAAAAACACTTCAAATTAAAAAATACCTGTTTTATAAAAAAATTACCAAAAAACTTAACCGATTTTTAAAAATTTGGTATCTTTGTAAAGGCGATTAAATACCCTTTCTCCTGGTATGCATATTTGAATACTTCGTACATAAAAATTTGAGAAACAACACTTAAAAGCAAAAAAAAACTTTTTTTTTTATAAAAAAAGACTAAACAAAAGAATTACAAACCGATTTTTAAAAAATTGGTATCGTTGTAAAGGATACCACAAAACTTATACTTTCCTAATCCCAAAAAAAGAAAAAAAAATTTATTAAAAACATTTTTTCCCTCTATATGAACTCCTGCTACGCCCTTGTATACAAAACAATTAAATTATTTACACCGCGCATCATGCGGTCAGTTTGTTCTTTTAGAGCGCATACATGGTTCAAAAATAACGTTTCCAGTATCTTCCAGTATATTGTAACTATCAATATCTTATAAAGAGAAGTGTACAATTTTTTTGATGTAAAACTAATAAAATAAACAAATTCGAGGATGTGGTAGTTAACATATTAGTCCTTGACATATATTTTTTTCAAAAATAAATATTGGAAATTTCCCTGGATGTTCAAGTATAAAGTTTTAAAAGGACATTTTCAATACTTAATCGTCCTGGTGCACCCAAAAATTGATTTTTTTTCTATTCTACAGAGTTTTTCCTTTTAAATGATAGCCATATTCTTATTCTACAATGCATCGAATCTTTTGAATAATTTGTTTATTCAATCATATTCTAGAAATTTGAAAGTCCTTTTAAAAAGATCCTGACGTCAGAGAGAAAAACTAAAAACGCAGTTTTACTATATTTGGCCCCCAGTTTTGTGAACATATTGCCTTTTTCGTGTGTAAAATCGACTGTGACACGATGTAATCGGTAACGGTATGAAAAAAGAAGATAAAGTTGCGTCAAAATATGTTGTCAAAAAAATACATAGTGAACACCGGAATTAAATCGACAAAAAACCGCGGTAAAAAAAAGTTATACATTGGTACATTAGTTACAAGTAAGCATAGCCACAACGAGGTGGAGTTTGACCAAAATGCTGCCATAAAACTTAACAAATATTCACATATACATTTGTAGATAATCTGTTTATTACGGTACATGTACGATAAATATGTGTAACATCATTTCAGTTGAATTTGCAATTTGAGAAGTCCATCTCGGGATGTTGCATTTTAAATCTATAAAAAATAACATTAATCAATCATTGTTAGATAATTGGGATATTCACAACGGCGCCGTAAGTGTCATATTGTTGTATGTCGTAAACTTTAAACGCCTAATAAATATATTAAGGGGGTTCGCAAAGTACCGTCAAATGATATTATGAATTTTCCCAGTTTAAAAAAATAGTTCGTTGTAGTTTCAAGTTCTGTAACCATTTATTAAAGGTTTTAAAGTTTACGACGTACAACAATACGACACTTACGACACCATTGTAAATCCCTCAAATGTAACTATGTAGCTCATACTTCTCTAATATCTCCATTTTCTTTTTATCTTCACTTGTTGGGAGACCCAGCTCTTTTTGACGTTGATCATACATCATTTTTTCAACCAAACTTCGAGTTTCACCGTCCAGATCAGAAAGTTTTGATGGCTCAGGGTTTATTTTACGTGTTGAAATTGGAGGATCTGCAGTTGTCAAGCGGTCCCACCAATTCATTTTGTTAAGCTAACAGAAATATTAAAAAGAGCAGGAAACCGTTCATTACTATTATTTGCAAATATTACTTAAAATATGTACATAGTTAAAAGAAGCATAAACAAAAATAAGTGTAATTTTAGTAATACCAAGTAAGGTCTAAGTTCGGGCGGAGCCGAACATTAAATAACCGGCGCAAGTATTAAATATATGATTTTCACCTTTCCGAAAGCTACCGCTAAATACTAAGCCGGGGTGTATCAATTTTGAGTAAATTAGCGTCTTTAAATTTCGAAATATTGAAGTTTCAAGCATTTCTGAAATTTACCGTTATATGAAAAGCGGCCTCAATTTTAGTCCGATTTCAATAATTTTCAACCTTTTGCTTTTATGTGGCAAGCACAATAACCATAACGAGTTTGGTACAAATTGGTAGAACGGTTACCGAGATACATATATGTGATCATAAGTGGGCGTTGCCACGCCCATTTTCCAAATTCTTATCATAAACGTATTTCTTGGTAAAGAACTGTTGCAAGCATCAATTTTGAATAAGTTATCTTTAATAATTACTGATTTATCTAAGATTTCGTATTTCTCCAAATTACCGTTATATGGGACGTGGGCGTGATCATTGTCCGATTTTAAAAATTTTCGGCCATTTCGTATGTAGCAAGGCTAACAACTGTGCCAAGTTTGGAAGAAATTGATGCAGCGGTTACCAAGATATATACATGTAACCATAAGTGGGCGTGGCTACGCCCAATTTCCAAAAATTTATAATATTCTTATTTTTTGTCAAAAAATTATTGTAAATATCAATTTTGAGTGAATAATCTTCAGTAGTTACTAAAATATCGCAGTTTTCGTATTTCTGAAAATTACCGTTATATGCCAGGTAGGCGTGGTTATTGTCCGATTTTGCCCATTTTCAATAGCATCCGTCCTACGCCCGAAAGAAGTGCACGTACCAAGTTTCGTTAAGATATCTCAATTTTTACTCGAGTTATCGTTTGCACAGACGGACGGACAGACAGTCACCGCTTAATCGATTTCTCTTTTCATTCTTATCATTTATGTATGCATTTGTCTATATCTATCTCGCTTCGCTTTGCCTGTTACAAACGACCGTTATGTGAACAAAGTTATAAAACCCTTGTGCACAAGTGCGCTCGGGGTTAAAAGGAATATATCGGGTGCCTCCATTGACGATAAATCTTTTTGAAATGACGGGGTCATTTTATGAATTAGTTTTTATGATTGCAAAAAAGAAATATATCTCGTTAAAACTACATCATTAATTTAGATTATGTTTATCCACGCTTACTGAGCCTTCACCATATCTCTTCGNGTCAACTTGCATAAATATGTAAATCCTTGATTAAAACATGAAGATTGAATGAAGTATACGTAGTTTAAAACCAAGATCTTAACATTATTTAAATAGATAAACAATAAAGAAAATTATAAAAAAATAGATAAAGCAATGGTATGTAATTTTTACAAGAATTAAATTATTTAAAAGGTTATTGATTATACATATTTATAATGGCTGCGTTTCTTTATACATTCCGGATAATCCCATTTCACAGCCGGAATAAACAGAATGCGTTTGAAATATACGTCAACATATCATCAGGAACGTTCTAAAGAATAAATAAACAAAAAAGTTTATTCCAAACATTCAGAATGAATAAAGAAATGCAGCCAGTATAAATATACAATATAAACCTAAGCTTAAAATTTTATGGAACACTTAAAAAAATCATCAAAATTTTAAAATTTTTTCTCAGAAGTGTGTTTTGAGTACATACACAGTTTGGCTGACTTCCAAAACGTCAATTGCTTTGCTTGCGTACAAAGTATAAGGTTCCATAACGCCGAACTACAAAATATTGACAATGTATACTGTTCCAAAACGCAGCCGAAAAGTTATCGTAACGCATCGCTCAAGCAATCAGCGCATCAGAAACAAAGTTGATGCTTCGTTTGGTATTGGTTAGCATTGGTATTTTAGAAATGGAAATTTTAGAAAAATGCTTCATTGTTATATTGAATATTTAAAATATGCAATATATGGTTGCAATGTGTCACAACTCTGCATATACAAACAGTTTGATTACCGCAATATAACAGATTCCAAACATTGTATTGATACGTTTTGGAAGTCAGCCTTTTATTGCCCATTCAATTTTAGTGTAATAGGCTGACTTCCAAAACGTCAATTGCTTTGCATACGTACAAAGTATAGTTTTCCACAACGCCGAACTACAATTGGTTGACAATGTCTACCTTTCCAAAACGCATTCGAAAAGTTATCAAAACGCATCGCTAGAGCAGTCAGGGCATCAGAAACAAATGATGATGCTTCGGTGTTATTGGTTACCATTGGTGGTTTAAAAATGAAAAATTCAGAAAAATTGTTCATTGCTATACTGCATATTTAAAATATGCAATGTATATGGTTGCAATGTATCGCAACTCTGCATATACAAACAGTTTGGATACCGCAGTATAACAGTTTCCAAACATTGTATTGATACGTTTTGGAAATCAGCCAGAATGTGGAAGTTTAAAGTGGCTAAAAATTACCGTTGACTTTATGTAAATATTTTAAGGAATCTTAAAAGAGCACTTAAAAGGGGAAAATTATAAGTAAAATGGTAAATGGGGTACGAAAAATTAAGGTACTTACGCGGGTTGGGTAAATAAGCGGAGAGGTACTTAAGAGAGGGATTTTCTTCAGATTACATCAAAAAATTCACGGTGCACAAAAATGTTGGTTATTTAAGCGGGTTATGTACTTAACCTTAACACTAACATATGTGTAAGCGCCAATCTATGTATAAATTATGTTGTGATTTCACTTCAATATAAAAATTGTGAGTAGCCCTGATTTAAACAATACTTTTCGAGCGTCTTCTGAAAATCGATAAATTTTTTTAGTGATGATTTCATTTTTGTTTTTTTCTACAAAACCTCTGTGAACGCTAAGTATACCTAAACCTAAATTCAAGTACAAACTAAGAGAAAATCTTAAAAGATAATAATTATTTTACCTTTTTTAAGTAAATGACTGTTTATCAGACTAACAAAAGTAAACTGAAAAGGACGTTCACAGTTGATAAAATTATCGAGGAACTAGCAGTTTACCAAAACTAGCCCTGCGTACGCCCATGTACCAGGGTATGCAGCTGTTGACGTCAAGGCACATAAATACAGGTAGAAGCCAAAATGACGTTGCTCTCATGAGAACCAAACCTTTAAACTTCAACTTGATTTTATTTTATTTCCTATATTTCGTTACGCTTAAAATGTCATGTCGTTTGTTTTTTTGAAATGTTCGTTAAAAACAAATTTTAATTAACATTTGCATTTTTGTAGTGTTGTGCGGTTTATACTTAGTGTATGTGTTAAAAATGCAGCACCTGAAGCGTTGTTTTTTATGTGGTGTTAAATATAATGCAGACATCACTAATTTTTTTAACGTGCCTCAATGCCCTCGGCGTAAGGAACGTTGGGAAAGCAGCTGTGGGGTAGAGCTGCAGCGAAATGCCTTGCTGTGCGTTAAGCATTTTAAAGCAGCAGATTTCATAAATGCACCAGGAGGTACAGGAAAGGCACGTTTGATGCCAAGTGCTCTTCCTATGACCCTTATGTTGGAAAGTCCTTCCAACAACACTGCAACTCATAAATCAAGTTGTGAAAGCTTAATAAATGATCGCGCTTCACAAACTGAGTAAGCATTGTTAAAACGCGATATATTTATAGAAATATTTTTAATTTAAGTCGTTTAGTGGAGACTTAGAACAATCCAGCTACAAACTCGAAATTCTGTTGCTGAAGTCAAGAATTGAAAATCTGGAGGGTGAAAACTCAGCACTCAAGACAGAGTACTATAAATATAAACTTTCAATGTATAAAAAAATAGAAAAGAACATACAAATTAACAAATTTTAACTAAAGAAAATAAATAAATAAATACAAAACTTCAAATTTACTTAAAAACGTCAACCAGCGAAATGTAATTTTTTTATTTTTCCTTACACACGCTCATTTTTATTTTTACTCTCCCGAAAACTTTGACTTTTGTAGGTTTGATGTCAATTTGGCTTCTACCTGTTTTTATTGTACCATGTGTTGACGTAAGGGGTAAAAGTCCAGGCGGTGCAATTCCACTCAGACATGGGAATATGGTGCATGATAAAAACATAGCAAGGTAGAACCGTTCTCTCAATTTGTCGGCCATGATTTTTTTTTGAAGTTTGCCAACATTTTAAAATCATATAAAAGTGAAAATAAAAAATTGAAATTGTTCGAAATTGTTGTTGCTTGAGATTGAAAATGAAAATGTGTGTGTGAGTTTGTGAGTAAATTTAAAAATTAAATTGTTTGGAAGCGTCAAGAATTTTAAAAGTGACTCTCAGCGGTTCTACCTTTCTATATTTTTATCATGATATGGTGTAGAATACTTTTGTTGTGGTTATCAGGAAATTTCAAGTTAATCTGATGTATAGTTTCCAAGATATAGCAATTTGAAAACGCAAAACATACCCGGGTATGTTGCTGTTGACATAAAGTTTAAGGGTTTGGAGTAGAGCTCTCTATTTTGTTCGCACATTTTCAAACAGCCCGGGTATATGAGCAACGAGTACTCGCACACTTGTTCAATGCTCATTACTCGAAAATTTTTGAGCATGAGCTCGAGCAATTCGAGTTTTTTCGAGCAATTTGAGCAATGTTTTTTTTATTATATTGACATTTTTGGTAGCAACTTTTAAATTTTTCAAACTATTGATATATAATGCAAAGATTGTTACATTGGTATTTAATAATATAATTTATTTAACATGAATTAGAGAGCAGCTGCTGACAAATACAATTTACAAATTTTCTTTTGTTTATGAAATTGTTCAAAAACTCGAAAATTTTGAACAAACATTTGAGCAGTTGAGCAATGAACGAGTTTCGAGCTACTCGCATTGCTCGATACCCGGGTATCTGGAGCTCTAGTTTGGAGTGATGATAAGGACATAG